GGACGAAAAACGTCACGTCACAACACCAATTCGCAAGCTTGATAGGAACACTGATTTCCATTTGTGGCGCGGTTTCTTACGGTTTTATTTATATCCGAGACTTCGAAAGGCATAAGTTTCTTGCTTGTTTAAGATCCGATGATAATTATGACGCACGTATGGCGCTTTCCTCTTCCCTTCAAACTGATTTTATAAGGTGGTTAAACAAATTACCTCCAATTTCGAGATCTATATTAAAACGAGGGTTCTATAGAGTAATTTTTATGGACGCTTCACCCACGGGTTAGGGTGGATCCATGAATACAAAACGAACACACGATTGGTGGTCAGATTAGGATAGAAGCGAACATATAAATTTCTTACAGCTAAAAGCGGTAGAATACGCATTCAAATCCTTTGTGAGCGATTTGCGTTCTCGAGACATTCTACTTCGCGTAGATAACACAATAGCAATTGCTTACATTAATAAGGGTGGTTCTTCTCGTTTTCCAAAGCTTTCAGCCCTTGCGAAATCGATCTGACAGTGGTGTGAATCTCGGGATTTATATATCTTCGCTTCCTACATCCCTTCTGCCAACAACGTTGTAACAGACAAAGAATCTCGAATAGTTTCATCAGAAACTAAGTGGGAAATTACTCCCTACCACTTCAATAGAATTCTCAAACACTTTGGGCCGTTTGATATAGATCTCCTCGTTTCTCACATCAACGCAAAGTGAAAGACCTTCGTTTTCTGGTTCCCTGATCCGTTCACGATCGTCATCCACGTTATCGATCACTTCCCTTCTACGCTCAAATATGGATAGGACCGCAGATTCCTTACCGGATGCCTCATCAGTTCTTTTCCTTGCCTTTAAAAAACCCATAAAGGAAGCTTCCACTCAATCTTTATTAGTCGGCGGATTAGAACGACCCTCTCCGAAGGAAAGATCGACATCTCAATTTTCTCTACACATACGACACGCCATACTCGCAGAGGTATTAGTATTGAAAACATCCGAAAATCCGTTGGCTGGTCTCAGAACTCTGATACTTTTGTAAACTTTTACAATAGGCCCCTCATGTCTTCGACGGATATTGCGCGAGCGATTATTTTGAATCGATAAACAGCGCCATCTCTATAAGAGTTTTTCCTTTTTTCTTTCCTTTCTTTGTTTATACATAGACATTCTTATGTATGGATAGTCATATATACATGCATATAGGCAATAAACATGCATGTTGAAACACTTACTACATTCACCTCATAAGGAATAAGATTATATCGTCACGAAATCGTCAGCTTTAAACAACTATAGGGTAACTCCGGTATATACGCCGCACCTATCAAGAACTTAATTTATTAAGTATTATTTACTATGTTTAAAATAAACGAACTATATCAGTAAAAACTTTGTACTGTCTATTACCATGAAAAAAATATTAAAAATCCGAAATATTTAGTTTTCGTATTAAAAAATAAACTTTTTGAAATCTTGCATTTTTGCTATATATAGATAATGGGTGGGATATATGGCAAAAATGCAAGGGTTTCAACAAACTAAACAAAGAATACGAAAGCAAAGCACTTGTATTTTGCTCTATACAACATGCTTTACTATTCCTCTACACGTATGTATCACGAAATAACCACTAGGTCTTTTACACGCTATACAGTAATCATTTTATGTAGATTATAATTTATAATGATGCTACTTGTTACACATACAGTATGTTACACATACAGTTACACATACAAATCGATTCAACTTACAATAATTTCATTAATATTAACAGAAAAGAAGCTGAAATCATAACACAATACTAACATAACATAAAGGCATGTAACAGAGTAATTGCGAAAAAGTTACCTCCACTCCTTCTATTTTTTCTTACTTCCGCAGCGTAAATGCCGGAGTTACTCTATTTCTACTCGGACGAAGCAGAGCATAATTACATGATCAAACGAACTTACAAGTTTGATCATAATTATGCGAATGCTTCATCCGAGTAGATCTTCCCGCCCTTTGCCCAAAAGATACCATATTTTCTTTTCCCACTCCAATTTTGTGATAGGGCTTTAAAACATGAAGATGTGCACGCGTAGCGACGCAGCGCTAGCGTTTCAATTTTTTTTTCGGCGCAAGCTTTAAAGGTGCTTGTTGAAAGGGAGTAGCATGAGACATAACTACATTTCTACTCGGACGAAGCATTCGTATAATTACGATCAAACTTTACTTGTAAGTTCGTTTGATCATGTAATTCTAAATAATAATATATATTATTTTTTATTTAATATTTTACTTAATATGAAATTTATCTAAAATAATGTATTATTATGCGTTGAACAACTACAAAAAAGATACATTCGATGAAAGTTTTAAGTGATAATTCATGTAAGATATGCTAACTATATAATAAAGTTTTTAGCACATTTAAAAGTTAAATGCATGCATTCCGTAGTTTATGGTTACTAATGTAATCTGGCTCTTTAAAACTTTCATATAACAAAAAATTAAATGTAAGTATCTATTTTTTTTATTTTCTGGAATGGTTGCTCTGATCCGACAGAGGTAGACTGCAAATCAAAAATACTTAATTTTCTTACATCAATAAATAAAATAAAAATTGAATACGCTTATAATAATTGTTTTAATGATTTTCTTCAAAGCTATGATCCAATACCGTAAACCTTTGCAACAAATTCGAAAGAATGCAGTGTGTGTGTGTGTGTGTGTGTTTGAGATAAAAATATTAATAAATTTTCTTAGTAAAAGTCAGAAATTATCTTACCCTATTCTTCCCTTATCTATTTTTATTACTGATATCATATTGAAGGTATGAACAAATACATATATCCTTTTTAGATAAATTAGCATGTAATTTAATATTACTGTGTAATTTAATTGACGTAAATTAACAATTTTGCGGCTTCGATATTTCGAAACGCGTTTCAACGCAAACTAATTCACGCGAAGTAATTGCCGAGCTATTATGATACGTGGTAGTGATTAATTAGATTGATCACCCACACTGGTTTAATTGGTTGGAATGCGATTACTACCATACCGTCCTTCTGAGAACGTGCTCATACAATTCATGGCATCGTCAAATTTGTACGGTCCGAGACGCAGAATACGCCATTATCAAAAGGCAGCCTGACAGCCATTCGGCTACTATAATGGATCATGAAATCGTAATTTAATCAATATTCGCGACTAATATGAAAAATTCTTACGTGGAATTCCTCAGTATAAGAAAAATTATGGGCATTGCCGGTTGAGTTATCGCATTCGTTGAATTATTATACCTGCCTGTTCGTTCATTATGCGGAATAATACAGAACAAAATATTGGAATCTCGATATTACGTCTACTCAAATTCATAATAAAATAGGCTATATCCCATATAACAAATAAAGATTGGTTAAAAAGAGATTGAAAGATTTAAAATTATCCGGACAGATAACATATATCTAATCTATATATCTATATATCTAGCTAAAATTCTCTAAATTCTAGCTAATTTCTTTCACAAAGTTTGAAATTAAGAAGAAAACATTTTAAAAAGCGCGAATGCTGACCACAAAGTTTTGCTTTCTGAATTTTTTTGTAAGATTGAATTGCTCTGGTAATCTCTTCGCGTGAAATTCCTGCTGCATACTAATCGCCTAATTTAACCAGTGACGGGCGCTTTAACATCAAGTTTTCTTACTTGATTGCGCAATTAGTTTCATCTTCGCTTGTTAACGCGGTCGCATATAACGATCTCATATCATAATTACCATTGTTGTAATAACTATTATTTAACATAGCATTAACGCTGTTGCAAGGTACTATTTTATGAAAGATTGCAAGTGCTACATCATGTTGTACGTTAATATGAATATCTCATTTTTATCAATTTTCGGTATAATAGCTGACTTTAGTTTAAACAATATATATTCGCAGGGATGAATTAATAGAACTATATTTAATAATTACAAAGTGACATCGAATAATTAGAAATTTCAAATTTTGGCAATTTAATTGTTACATATAAAATATGTAAAATATGTATTGTACAATAAGAATATTATTTTAGACCGTAAATGTGAAAAACACAATCGATAAATTAGAAGCCTATACCGATCGAAACTAGATCTTTAAAGCTTAAATAATTCAAAATGAATTATATATATATATATATATACTATATATATACTTGCATATATACCATATTTGTAGTTATTCGAACTGCGCTCTGAATTGGTTTTCCAGATTTATAAACTCAATTAAACTATTGTAATAATATCACGAATTAAATTAAATTGATAATCAATTTTTAATAATTCGATGCTCAATTAGACATCATATTAAAAAGATGTTAATTTGCTAAAAAACTGTAAATAAATTTATTGCGAAGAATATTACCTCGGGAGTCGAACCTGGATTTCTTATATTCCGTACGAGCGTCATAAGTCTTTAGACAGTTTAGACTACCGAGACCTTAATAATATTGTTCGCAATGATCGATATATGCATGGAAACAACGTCTTTTTCAAATAATTTAAACAATAAGAATATTATGTTAGACTGTAAATGTGAAAAACATAATCGATAAACTAGAAGCCTATAAAATATGTGTTTGAAACGTTTAAAATAAAAATGTTAAAACTTTATTAATTATTGTAATATATTCAATTATAACTTCACAAAAGAAACTTAATAGATGCATGGATACAAATATACACGTAGGTATGTAAAAAGTCCACTGTTACTAACAAATATGTACATGATATAACATTTTTATGTTATTTCCATTAAACTACAATTAAAATACATTTTTTCTTGAAAATTTTTCGAATTTTCTTGAAAAATGTAACAATAAGAAAAAAATTAACGGGATGACGGTTTTTTTTTAAATGTATACTATTCTGTTATTAGAGAATATATAAATTTTTTTTGGGAAAAGTAACGCGCGTAATAAAACAATAATTAAATATGATAAGTAAATAACGATCATTCCTTCATTTTACTCACCTTCTCGCCGTACTCGCCTTCCACAGCGACCGTGGAAACATATTTCCATCCGAGCAGATGGATCACCTCAACAATTGCCTGTGCCTGAAAATTATCCGGTGGTACCACTCTGCTGAAGTACTCGAACCGGCTTTTATCCGAGAGTTCTGTGCTGGTGGAGGCGTAACTTATTTGCGGTATCTGCAATCACGTTACCATAAAACCAAAAAAATTGAAAAATATTTTTCTGTTTTTACACATATCTAAAAAATAAATAATTACAGCGGCAATGAAGAGAAGAGCGGAGCAGCATAAAGATATTTTTTTTATAGAAATTATTATTATTATTATTATTCATAGCGACGTTATTAAATTTTATGCTTTGCATAAATTCATATCATTTATTAAAAAGAGTTTATACATATACGTATACAAACACGACATTTATTTTTCATACAGTAGACAAACATTTGTTTTTTAAATATGATGTAAAAAATATAAATATATAATAATAAATAATAAAATAATAAAATAATAAAAAATATAATAAAATAATAATATTACATTTAATATAATATTATTGTTTTAGCTTCAAATTATTTTTTCATATTACGACGCTCATTTGACAGATAAATCATATAAAACCGTGCAGAAATTCGCGCATATATAAAGGTTAATATCCGCGTCATTTGATGCGCGACCCTGTTTCTCGTCATGGATACGAAGAGAGTCCGTAACTTTGCAGCATCTGTGTGTAGGCAACATAGAGAATCTAATAATCTCATGTCTGTTGGAAGTGGCTAAGTCTGTGTCACCCTCTCTCCCTCGCCCTCGAATTTCTTTGGTTGCAAGGTTGCAACGGATAATTCTATTTTTGCACAAAGAGCATACACTTCGCCGAGATAGTTTCCTGGTGATAACATTGTTCCTTAACGGATGTTATTGACATTATCATGCGTCCTTATCTCTCGTACCTACAGCCCCGGCATATGCGCGAAAACCGACAATAGCATGCAAAAGCCGCACCCGCATTATCACTTCCCGTATTAATTTGCATCCATTTAGTTTCAATGGTTACTGTTGCAAGACTATTGACGTGACGTAAATTACAAGCTGCAAGAATGATCGATCGAGGTTTTACTTGGGTCAGGTTGACGACACGAAAATTGTGAAATAATAAAAAAGAATATGCACAATATAGAGAGAGATACAAAGTTTTTATGTTCCGCCATGATTCTCTTGAGTCAAAGTGAAAATATAGGGTAAAGTCGCCTTAATATGAGATAGCGGGGTTTCTGTTAAACTAATAATAAGCGCATGTGTTTGATTCTTTCATGAATTTTTTACTCTTAGTGTGAAAGCTGTTTAATAGAAAATTCATTATTAGATCATGTGTATAGTCGTTGCAAAAAAAGATTTGTGAAATTGAATATTGTCAAATTTTATTGAGATTAGAGAGAGTCTTTAAATCTTGTTTTATATATATATATATATATATAATGCAGTGATAGAGTAAGATTGTATTCATAAGAAAACACGTGATATAATAATTTGTTTAACTGTAAAGATTAGATTTGGTGATCGTAAGCGTGGAAGTGATAATATAAGATACTCAGAGTATTCCTAACTAATATGAAAGCATCTAAATAATTCAATATCTCAAAGCATACTATCGAACGAAATATTAAAAATGACGATTCTATTGTTAAGATTACTCACACA